TCTGGAAGTACTTCATATATATCATTTTGTGTTAGGTCTGTTCTGTAACCCTTGATGAAAATATCCTTAGTATATCTAAAATTTAAATGTACTCTAATTGTCTAAGATTTTTTTCGAGTTGATTTTGACTAACATAAAGAATAATTTCGAAAACCAGTTGCAGGTTTTCTCCGGATTAGTGGATTGTTTCTGTGCGTTGTAATAGTCCATTAGTGTTTTTTGTATATATATAATACCTTCACTGGTTAGTACCGTTTCAAAGAAATGTTGTTTAACAGCAATTTTCCTGTATTAAAATTATTCACGATTGTGTGAATAGTACTAACAACTCGTATGAGCTATACCGCTTCAACCTATTACAAAAGTTTTTGTAGTAAAGGAATGTAATAATGATATAATTAGTTGAACAAAAACACTTTAACCATAAACGTACCGTCTAATTATCCTAGTGTATGGAAAATATATGAAAAAATTTGATAAGAACTGTTTACCAGTGGATATTCAGGAGGTCAAAATTTTCCATTCGGACGACATTATGTAACAGATTTTGGAGTTTCTTATTTTCTTGAATGAGTTAGATTTTCCGCCCATATCCTTGTACAATAAATTTAGCATTTGAAAGGAAAAAAATAAAAACTAACATGTTTTAGGTGTAATTTTTTGTTATTAGATTAACACTACAGGACGTTAAAAAGCAATTTATAATAATATCCGCGAAAATATTTTAATAGGCAGCAAATAAAGGACTAGATTTTATTTCTAAGGGAGGAACAGTTTTAATTATAAAATAATAATAAATTTGAATACGTTAATAAAATTTATTTGGCCTTTGTTAAGAGGAAAGTGGTTACAAATACAATTAAATGAGCATTAAAAATAACTTAATTCTCTACAAAATATGTTTTTTGGCTTCAATACTACACGTAATTTGGTGTATCGACGAGATGCCTGGAATGTTGAAAATATCTCTGTAACGCTTAGTTCTTAATTTTTCCTGCTGTCTTACTCGCATCTTTTCATTTTTGTTCATGTCATTTATTTTCTTTCGTTTTCTGCGTGTCTTTCATTCTTTTTAAATTTCCATCTTTTTCCCACATTCTTGCACGTTTTTTTTTCTTTTCACGTTTATATTCTCGTTTTCAGCTGCAGTTTTCTTCGTTTTCTAAAACATAAAATAATATGGCCGTTAGCCACTATAGATAAGAATTTATCGGTAAAAGTAAAAATAAGGGGACCGGCGATACAGGGGACCGTCGTTACAAAATACGTTTAATATAGGGGAGAGCGGGGATAGTTGTCACAAAATTTGTATTTGATTTTTTTTTTACCGGATGTATTATTTTTCATGAGTAAAGGAATTTTGATACAAAAGACACAAGTGTTGAGATTCGTAGAAAAAGTAGATCACTAACAAATCTTTAGTAGTTCAAGTAAAAAAAAATAGTTTGTACCAGAGTGCAAAGTGTGACAACCTGCCCCATGACGGGGTTTGTTGTCCCTCGGGAGGGGGTAACTTGTCACGTGCTAAAAAAGTGGACAAAATCGCAAATACAATGTTTTTATTAAGTCAGTACAAAAATCAGAGGAAAAGTTGAGGTAACTAAATATTTTGAATTTTGAGTCACACTCAATAAGCATATAAAAAAATAACGAAAACTCCTTAGTGCTACAAAAATGTATAACAATTTTTATGAACTATCATCATCATCATCGGAATCACAATTGTGACACACATAAAATAGATTTCTGTTGGCGCATTTTTCATGTGCCCATCTCTTACACCGGGTGCATTGTAGCCAAGAATCTTTTGAATTACTGTAGTTGCCGTCACACACTAAGCAAAAAGTTTCTTCTTCTTCAGATGAAGATTCTTGCTTATGCTGCTTCCTCTGGTATTTCTTTTTCTTGTTGCTTGAAACAGAAAAATTTTCAGAAAACAAGTTTCGTTTGGGTTTCTCAGCTTTATTCGCTCTTGCAACCTGCTCGGCCTCAAGTTCATCCTTAACTGGGGTATCCGTTAAAATAGCAGATTTACGCTTTTTTCTTTGCTGTTTTGTGTTTTTTCTCTCTTGAGCCTTTGGTAAGGGACGAATAGCTTCTGGAGAAAAAGCCGACTCAATCGCAGATATGGTAGATGCCGAAGATGCACTTGTCGAACTCCAAGATTCTGCTTGAGCAGAAGTTGAAGGTGATGAAGTGTTCGTTGTCATTTCAACGGGTTGTAACAAATTGGCAGATTCTTGATTTGGATTTGGCCGATCTGTTACATAACTTGGAAGAAAGTCCTGGTCTGAGAAAATATCTCTATTGAATGGATAGATGCCACTCACTTTAAATCCAGATGTTACATTATTAGGAACAAGTGCCAATGGTAGAGCATTTCCTACAATGCCTGGAATATCGTAGATGGTAATGGTCTTACCAGGATTAGTTCTTAACCATGAATCACAGTTTGAATTAATGAATTTTTTCAAGGAATAGAAAACAGATCTATCTAGTGGTTGCATCTTGTGGCTGCAGTGAGGAGGGAATGAAAGCATGACCACTCCGTTATCTTTGGCGAAATTTAAAGATGCTATTGATAGATGTGAATCCAAATTATCTAGCAGTAATAAAATAGGACTCTTTTTCGTACATTTCACTGTAGCAACCAAATGCTTCATAAAAGTTAGAAAAATATCATTATTCATCCAACCTGAGCGATTTGCTGCTCCAATACTTCCTGCAGGTGCTCCTCTTAAGAAATGGTCTTTGAAATGGACTCTCGGGAAAATAAATAGAGGAGGAATACTATTTCCTGAAGCAGAGACTGCAATTGCAACAGTCACCAGCGTCCCTCTTTCTGCAGAAGTTATTGCACCAATTTGCCGAAATCCCTTTCTGGCTACAATACGGTCAGGACGCTGGACAGTCGTTACCCCGGTTTCATCCATGTTGTATATATCTGTAGGACGAAAAGAATAACGATCAAATAAATTCGCCAAATTGTCGAAGAAGGCTGCCACGTTCGTTCTGTTAAAACTAGTAGCTCTTGACAAGCTTGTGGATTGTGGTGTACGGATTGATAACCTGGGGTGCCTTTTTAAGAAGCCGGAAAACCAATCTGGACCTGCCATAAGCGTGTCGATCCATTTTTGTGGCATGACTTTCCCTAGAGCTTTGGCATAATCATACGCAAGTCGCTTCACCTCCTTGGGTGTTAGACCAAAATAAATATCTGCGGCTTTTTTTAAATAATTTTCGAGCTGCATTTCTTCCTCTTCACTAAAAACTTGTCTGGGTTTTTGATACCCCATCTGTACTTTTGTAATATTATTCGCTAACTCTTCTGGAGTAACTTTCTTGCAGAATCTTGACAAAGTTTTGTAATTGATGTTGTAATCTGCAGCAGCTTTCCTTATGGAAGAAATTCCATTTCGAATATCCCTTGCCGCTCTGAGGAAAATATCTGCGGGGGGAATATATCGGTCCGTCTTCTTCTTGTAAGTTCTAACCATCTGCAACGAATGGTGGTCATTGTCTTAACTTAGTATTATCGTTGGGGGCATGTTGTCACAGTGACAATCTGCCCCACAGATTGTGTGACAACTAGCCCCAACCGACATTTTTATCGATGAAAATCCACCAAATTATTGATAGTCAATGTAAATGCATTATTCTAGCACAAAAACACAACTTAATATCTACTAACTTAAATACATTACTTACACTTACCTTTAATTTAGAAACAACTGTATTACCACATAATTTTCGGCATACGAAACTTTACTAAAACGTGGGAATAACACTTTTTCAGCCATTAACACCACATGGTACAGATTACTGTATTGAAAGTTTGTAGTTTAATTCTTAGCTGGTAAAACAATTCATTGGTAGAGGTCGCCACTTAGAGTGAATATTAGCAAAAAAATTATCAGCTCTGAGACACTTTGCCCCTGTGACTACTAGCCCCGCTCACCCCTATATATTTTGTAATTCGCAATAATCTGAAATTTAGCACATAACTATTTAAACAAATTGTTTTCAATGCTTTATTGGACAAACATAATACTTACGCTATAAAATTGAAAATACCGTTTATATCAGAGGGGACCGTCGTTACTTTAGAAAACATATTTTTTCAAATTACGAATAAATCATGCAAAATAAAACGTGAAAACTACAACAACAGACAACTTACCTGTTTGGTCATTTTTTTCACTCACTTTGTCAACTTGTCAGAAGCAGTCACAGCTTCTTCAGTTAAAAACGATGATAACAATATCCATAAATGCTTATCAAATCTTAAATGATGCATTTGTAGGAACACATTTATTTACTTTTTTTTGTGCAACAATAAAGCAATTAAAAGACTTTTAATCATGTTTAAATAAATTTTCACGGTATTGAGTTTACAAAAAAAAATTATACGTAAATAACATGAATGCAGCAGTTGCCCACAATACGAAGCATTTTGTAAATATCGCCTGGGGACAGGGGACTGGCGTTACATTTGTTAAAAGTTTTATGCAAAACCACAACTGTGTACCACTTAATATTAGTGAACTGTGTAACATCTAATAATTATAAAGTCATTGTTTATGATAAATTCAATATTTAAGAAAAAATTAAAAGAAAACACAGACAAATGTAGTAGGAACACGTTTTTTCCCATTATCGTATTTTGTCCCTTTATGCAAGTAAGATGACAAAGGAAAAAAGTTATTGCAAGCACGAAAGTTACAGTTTGTTAAGTTCAGTTTTGCCTGTCCAAAAGGAGAATTTATATTCAATTTTCACTTTTTCACAAATTCAGATTATTACCAAGAAAAAAATAGAAGGAGTTTCATTAAGCGAAAGTGCTTATATATACCTAATACTTGTAAATATATTTAATCAGTGTTGTTTTATAATATGGTAAAAATAATTACAAACATTACTTTACAAAAATTCCGCGTAATATCGACTTAAGTATAACATAAAATGAAAAGAAAAGCTGCTAAATATTTTTGAAATAATTTTCAAATATAGGTCTGTATATTTAACGAAGAATTTTCATATTCATGGACGTATTTGTAAAAATAACCATTCATGTTTTGTAGAAGTCCATTCGGGGTGCCAAATTCCACAACACAACCATCATCTAAAACCACGATCTTATCCGAATTCATCACATTGTCCAATCTATGTGCAATTCTTAAAATCGTTGCCTTATGAAATCTCTTCTGAATTGTGGCTTGAATTAATTTGTCGGTGTCTAAGTCAAGAAAGGCAGTTGCTTCGTCAAGAACAATAATTGTACATTCCTTCAAAATAGCTCTAGCTAAACACATTAGTTGTTTCTGTCCAGTACTAAAATCGACACTGGCTTCCGAGAAAGAACTGCTCAAACCAGAGGGTAAATTTGAAACAATCTGTTTTAGATTTACTTCTTCTAGAACACTCCATAACTGGTAGTCCGTGAATTCTTTGAAAGGATTTAAATTTTCGCGTATAGTACCTGAGAAAAGAACAGGATCTTGAGAAACAATCGCTATTCGAGATCGCAGTTTGCGAAGAGGAACCATTGTTATATCGACGTTGTCTATTAATATTGTTCCTTCGAATTCGTACAAGTGAAAGAGCGCATTTATCAAAGACGATTTTCCAGCACCAGTTCTGCCAACGATTCCTATTTTTTCACCAGCTCGAAATTCCACATTGATGTTTTTGAGGACAAACGGTTTTGCGGGAGAATATCGCATGGAGACTGATTGAAACAGAATTTTGCCGTTTGCAGGCCATGTGCTGGGAGGATTAATTTCATTTTTATTAATGTCTTCGACTGTTAGGTCTTCGTATTCGGCAACTCTCTCAACTGAAGTCATCTGCGAATCAAGATCACTATAAATCTTAATCATGTACTGTATTGTCGAAATCAATAAGAGCGATTGTGTAATGGATAAACCAACGTTTCCTACCATATCACCTAAAAAACGAGGGTAAGGATACCGTCGATGTAGATACCTAATTACTTGCTTTTTTTGAAGATTATTAGAAAGAATACAATAACGGCTACATATAACATGCAAATGAATTCTGTCCAAAAAGCATAAGAACTGTGGAGAGCTTGATGCAGATAGTTAATCGCGTTATAAGAATCTTGATAGCGTTCAAATTTTGACAAACAGTGTTTTTGAGCCTTTGAAGCTTTGACGGTTGTCAATCCGTCAACGGTAGCAACCACGTGAGTGTAAATAGGACTTTTACCTAAAAAATGAAATTAATGGAAGATAGTCCTGTATGTTTGCTACATGTTTACGTGTGGCGGTGATTCTCTTCAGTTTGATAAGTACTGGCCGGAAAGCTTCCATATGGTAATAAAAAATTACCAACAAAACCAACGTTGGTACAATCATGTAATAATTTACTGCATTGACAACAACATAAACACCTAACACAGAACAAACTTGTCTTGCACCTTGATACATGTTTTTGGGGATGATCTCATCGATTGCACTTATATCATTAGAAATTCTATTAATAATTCGACCAGATGCGTGGTTGTCGAAAAACTTCATAGTCCCATATAGAATTTTGTTAAACAACGTATCGTGTAACTTAACGGAGCACATATAACAGCATTCTACAAAGTTTACAGAACCCATGTGAAACAAAAATAGCATTATTAGAATAAATCCACTGTAAATGTACAAACATTTAACGTCGGAAAAGTATTGTAGTATTGTTGTGTTGAAATTAGAAGGATTTTGCCTCAGGTTGATCCAGAAAGACAAGAACACGTCTGAACCGTTTACAAAAACTTGAGTTAAAATGAAAAGGAGGAGCTGAAGAACGACGAAGAACTTGCTATCATTTGCAAATAAATATGTTGTATATGTGTTTACTTTATCGCTACCTCTGTGTTCTTTAGTTTCATTTTGGGCTTTATAACTTTTCCCTGAAAGTTTTGTCGGTGTTTTATTATTGTTTTCTTGTACGTTATTTGGTAAATCTTTTAATGTTTCATATTTTCCGGAAAACGTTACCCTCCCATCTTCCAGAACATACACTTTATCGGAATAATTGAGAAATTTTAAATTATGTGTTATTAGTACAACACTTTTGGTTTTTAGATATTGCAAAATACATTGAGTAAAAATGTGTTGAGCGACACATACATCCATTGCCGCTAGAGGATTATCTAAAAGATAAATGTCTGCATCTTTGTATATAGCTCGTGCCAAGTTAATTCTGGCTTTTTGGCCTCCACTCAACATAGCTCCTCTTTCTCCCACCAATGTTTTGTCTCCGTGGGAAAAAAGAGAGATGTCATATTCTAAAGCGCAAATTTTAAGAACATTCAAATACTTGTTCTGGTTAAAGGTTTCATTAAATATAATGTTTTCTTGGATGGTTGCCGAGAACACCCATGGATTTTGCGATGCATAAGATATCAAACCATCCTGGGATATATTTCCATCGACTATAAGTAGTTCTTGCAATATAGCTTGAAGTAAAGAAGACTTTCCACTCCCTGTGTCTCCGGTAAGTGCAACTAACTGACCACAACCAAGTATAAAATCAACGTTTTTTATCGCCGCCTCTTGTGATGGGTTCCATTTAGCTGTTAAATTATGAGCATATATTTTACAACATGGTATACCTTCTATTTTTTGTGTGTCAACTGTTGATTCATGATCCGAAAGCAAAAATGTTTCAATACGGGTTATACACACTTTCAAATCTGACATTAAATTAACAGCCAAAATGGAATGCTGCATCGATATTCTAAGTAAATTGTATATGTTTATAGACATAAAAATCAATTGTGGATTTAAAGGAGTACCAGTCGTTGTTAAAAGTATAATAAGCATGTAGACAGATATTTTCTCAAGGTACGTCGCAATTGTAGTGTTTTCGTTCCATATGTGATTCAGTTTTCTCATATGGATAAGTTCACACCTAAAATTTATCCAGTTGATAATAGTGACTTGATTTTGAAAATTCAAACCTCCTAATTTTATTTACGAATTCAGCGAAAGGCGTCTCCCAAGCGTACGTTTTAATTTCTCTCGTTCTAAAAATAATATCGTTCATTATTCGTATCCGACTGTCTCTTTCTCTGGTCATTTTTTGTCTTTCAACAGCAGCTTTCGTGAAAAAAAACCCTGAAATTTAGCTAGGTTACGTTCGAAAGAATGATAAAAAATTATACTGACATTGAGAAAGTGAAAAAATTACTATTATTCCCACTCCAACGACTCCTTCATAACTAGACAATGAAAGAAACAACAATGTTGCCACGACCATTTTCAAAATACCGCTCCACATGCGGTGAAGATAACAGAAAACCGTCTCAAATTTGTCAACGTCGATAGAGAACAAGTTTAATGTGTGTGCTAAAGTATTTTTTTGAATAGTAGCGAATTTCGAAGTTATAATTTTTCTATAAATTAAAGAGGAGCAAGATGAACGAACTTTCAAACCAGTGCTGAAAGTTTCCAAATAATGGAACTGGAAACTTATCACTCGAAGTAGACTAGATAAAACAACGGCCATTCCATAAATATATGCTTCTTTTGTCGTAAGTTTTTTGTTTTCTGAGAAATATTCCAATAATTTACTCATGCATAGTGATTGTAGGAACCTGGAATAGTCAGTATTTTCAGTGAATACCTTGTTTTTTTACAGTCGTGACGTCTGTATTGAGGGTTATTGTAACGATTAACTAATTGTTTAGAACCAAGTATGTTGACGTCGTTATTTAGAACCATGTTGAACAGTGTATTGGAAAATTCTAGTTAAATTTTAGGTTTTCTGATAGTTTTTCTTGGCGTGTATTTTTATTATGCCAGTGTGAATGATATATGAGGTCAAGTTTAAACATAGGGTAATGGTTTACGTCACTAGGTATTTACAAACGATTTGTATGTATGTTTTATACTTACACTGATAGTGTATCGGCTATAGAAAAAAGTAAACCAAAAAGCACATATTTGATACCTACAAATTGTGCCAATAATCTGATAAAAGACGGTTTTTTTCTTGAAATATTTTCTTTATTCCATAGTGCCTCCAGTCTGTCTCCTAACAGTTGTGCCTCATGATCTCTTATCGGTGTCATGAAGCAGTCGTCAGTTACCCCATTTTTCCAACACTCTAAAACTGTTTTTAACTGCCAACTAAAGTTTAAAGTTATTATAATCTAGCTAAACCGGTGAACAATCTATACCAGAATAAAAAGTGAGACAAGAAATCTGCCTTCTCCTTGGGATGAACATTTTTCGGTATTTTATTAATTGTGATCTTTTTTGCTTTTGGTGAATCCATTAGTCGTTTTGGTTTGCAAAACTGATACTAAAATGCTTTAATGATTTAGTTTAGAAGTGAAGTCTAATAAAGCAGCGGAGTTCAGTAGCAAACAAAAAAAAAATATGTGACTCTAAGGAACGAGTTCTGCAGTTGTATACATACATATGATAATGTAGCACAATCCTTACATTCGTTAGAGACTTCATTTAAGTAACTCGTTGTCTAGTTGACGCTAGCTTTTAAATTGTATGAATGACACTGGACTTGACAAGCTCCACCATTTAGGTATATTTTTCCACTATTACTATCGGTACTATCGATAACACTGTCAGCGTTGTACATATAGGGTGATTCACCGTAAATTTAAAAATATCAAAACTATGTGGTTTGAAAAACAACAAAACAAATTTTCACGGTCACGTTGTCGTTTGATGCGGAAATTACTAAAACATTTCGACTAAATACCAGGGGCGGCTGGTGCCGGGTGGCACTAGAGCACGTGCCTCCCCAAAATTACAACGTCTACAACCACACTGGACATAGCAAAATAGTAATTTTCAATATTTAAAAAATTGTCCGGAAATTTGTGTCATAATTATCAAAACTAATTTTTTTATCTTGCTCCACTTGCATAAAATGAATCAAAACTTACTTCGACTTGCATCAAAAAATGTGTCTTGGATATATGATATGTTATTTATGATGAAATGCTGATAAAAGCCCGGCACAGAGACCGAATGGACCGAATCATGGCTGATTTAGATGTTTTGTTTACACCGTTGCCATGGAAACTACACGTCGTAGCCGCCTGATATGCGCTTGATACAACTGGATTGTGAGCCCGTTGCCATCGTGCTCTGGAGGATTGAGTTACTATCGGGGGTTTTAATTTTCCTTCTACACGTACCTATGATAAATATTCTTGGATAATCTTCTCGGTAATACAGACATTCGGAAACAATTCGGGCACATAGCGCAAGGGTCGACAAAAATCGCCATATATTACGCCGATTGATAATGTGCATAAAATTTTGAGGAGTGTTTGAATTTGCTTTACGTGGACATGACAAAATCCAGGTATATTTCGAGGTCTGATTGATTTTATGGCTGAATTGGACTTTATCAGATCATTTGAAAGAAGCAACGGTTTTTAAAGGAACGCCTAAAACTGTCCAAAATGAACTTTTAGATGGCATGAACACGGAAGGCAAAAAGGTATGTGGAGAATTCCATTTTTATTTTTATTGAATGTATTTTTGTATTTATTTCCGTCACACAATTTCGTCTATTAATTGGTAATGACAACCTGTTTTATATCTTCATATTTAACTCATCAATCAAATTGTGTCCCCCCATTTCAAAAGGTGATCAACCGCCACTACTAAATACAACCCTACATAACTAATTTAAAAGATTTAAAACCCAACACTGTTATGACCGTTCTAAATATTATAAATCTAAATTCAAATCTATAATTCACAATGGTTATCTCCGGTATCTAAACGAAATACAATCGTCAATTTCATCAGACCCCAAAAAATTTTGGACGTATATTCAATCCAGAAAAGGAAAATCTAGAATCCCAGGACTCATGAGATATCTAGGTCAAGAACTTGAAACACCGCAAGATATCGTTAATGCATTTGGTGAATTCTTTAAAAGCGTCTACACATTCTACAAATTGTAATATAAGAACATAAGATTGATAGGATACTGAGAATTTCTAACTTTTCAAAAATTTTTGAATCCATTGTGTACAAACGACTTTATTTTAAAGTTAAAAGCTTTAGTTCTCCATTTCAACATAGCTTTGTCGAAAAGAGATCCACTTGCCTTCTTCATGCATTCATTTCAACAAAGATTTAGATCAAATAGACCATATTCTTGTTCGTCAACTCAATTTGTTTGGCTTTTTGTTTGCACCATAAGCAGCATTAAACTGTTATACGGACTGATGAATAACAAAACTCACTGCATTTACTTAATGAATAAAATTGAATTCTTAGTACCTAGAATAAATAGTAGAAATTGGTGTTGTAATATTGTGATCCGTGCCGAACTAACGTATTAATTAAGTCACTAGTGATTCTTATGTGCAATAATTTTAATTTAGTCAGCAACCTTTGCGAACCTTGCGACTCCTTCAAATTTATGTCACAGAGTGTTATTCATTGTTTCGAGTACTAGTTATTTTGAGTGTTTCTTCTTTCTCTTTTTATAATTAATTACTACACCTAATTTTTATATATTGTAGGTATATTTAATTTCCTGTAATTGGGTGCCATGTCCGTTGGAAATAAATGTATTACGATTATTATTAATAGAAGAAAACTAAATTTTGGAGTTCCTATCGGGATAGGTCAAATTCGTCATTTATGATGAATCACGCTGTATGACAAATGTTTTCTTGTTCTGATTCAAAGTTTGGATTTATTAAATATCACTAACAAAGAAAATATTTTGATATATTGTGCAATGTTGAATTATTGAAAAAAGCGCACTATTGGGATAAAACAAACTGAGTTTCATAAAGGCAGCATATTTTTGACTTTATTTATTTAATAAGTTTTTGCAATGATGTCTTTAACTTTCTCAAGAAAATGCATGAAAAATCGAATTGTTGTTCTCGAGTTATCAAATCAATTGTCAAACTTCCAAAAAGTTCGTAGTAAAACGTTTAGAAAACTTGTCTATTCATCCCCACCAAAAATGTGATGATATTACACCAAGAAGGTATAAAAAATATGATTTATTTCAAACATTTTAAATTTACCTATTACCTAGTGAGTAATTCTATTAATTAATTAACATATATCCATTTTTTGCTTTTATAATTTTTTTATTTTATTGTTTTTTAAACAAGTTGCTAAGCACACCATTTTTTTTCTTCAACAAACTAGACGGATCACCAGACTCAATAATTACACCCTTATCTAGAACTAACACTAGGTCAAAATCTAAAATGTGACGCAATTTGTGCATAATTGCGATGACTGTACATTCAGCAAAAATTTCTGATATTATTTTTTGTATCAAAACTTCAGTATCGGAATCTACACTGGCATTAGTTTCGTCAAAAATTACAATTTTGTTACGCTGAACGAGAGCTCTACACACACAAATGAGTTGTTTTTGACAAATGCTCAAATTCATGTCAATTTTCTCATCCAAATTTCCAAAGAGTGACAAATTTACGGTTGAAATAGCTTTCCAAATATCATCGTCTGAATGTTTTCCTGTGGAATCAATATTTTCGCGTAAGGTCCCCGAAAACATGGTAGGTTCTTGTGGAACTACAGATATTTTTGATCTGAGGAAATCCAGTGGAAGTGTTTTGATGTCTACGTTGTCAATAAAAATGGTTCCTTCGAAATCGTAAAGTCGGACGAGTGTAGAAATTAATGACGTTTTTCCTGAACCAGTCCTACCGACGATGGCAACTTTTTGTTTATTTTTTATGGCGAAATTTAAAGGTTTTAAAACATGGTCTTGGTCGCTCTTGTAAGAAAGGGACACGTCTTTGAACCGTATTTCACATTCCTTTGGCCAATGTTCCATTATTAAACCTTCTCTGCTTTCTTGTTTTTGTTTAATGTACTCCAAAACTCTTTCTACTGTTATCATTTGATTATCAAATCTAGTCATCGTACGATAAAAGAGATGCTCTGAAGTTCCCAAACTAAATATTTGCGACAAAACAAGTCCAACTTTTCCTGCTGCCATTTCTAAAAAAATATTGTTAATTAGTATCACTCGGCTTCCAAGATTTTTTCAATTTACTGTCATCTAGTGCTAAGAAAAGGATAATTGCGAAAGAAAGGAGAATTATTTCGTCGGCTGTTTGTATCATGTGATATGCTTTCTCACAACATGTGTACATGTAAGAACAGGAAGTATGCAAATCTTGATGTTGATCAAATTCTTTTCGCAGTGTATCGTGAATTTTTGAGGTCCTTATGGTTGTCAATCCGTCTAAAGTAGCATTGATGTATCCAATTAAAGGACTTCGTGCTAAGATTACGGGAGTTATCACTAAAAAAAAATTTTACTATGCTTACTTAAGAATTCCAGCCGTTTTAAGGCATTTCCAGTTTTTAAGTAGAACATTTGTACTAAAACGAAGAATACACTAATCAGAATACATGGAATTAGGAACGATGCATTAACTGTAGCTATGAGAATAATAACTCCAACTGTTCCGACAAAATACTAAAATTCAGGAATATTATAAATCACTTTATAAAATTAACCTATTTACACCCATTAGTAGGAAAAACGTCAAGGGCAGTATTTCATCAATGTACAGAATGTCTTCTGAAAATCTGTTCAAAATAATTCCTATTCGATTTTTGTCAAAGAATTGCATAAAACTGCGAACCACCTTAGCGAAAAGTAAATTGTGAAGCTTTAGTGAAGCTTTGGCAGCAAGGACCCAGAAAAAGTATGTATTTAATGACATTAATATGGTCGCAGTTAAAATAACTATAGGTAGAAAAAATAGCATTTGGTGGCGTTTTTCATTTGCCTCAATATAGATTTTCTTGTCTGTGACATTGTTAAACAATACTTGTTCCGCATTTATCCTACAAGTTAAAGTCAATGCGAGGAAATTATCAAATTTTAGTCTTACCAAACGGATTCCATTTGATTGATTGAACTTTTCAGAAACTGAATTATTCCGGTGAGAAGTAAAACTAAAGACATTTTGACCATGCCTCCATTTTCTTTAATATACTTTTTGTAAGTTTCGAATTGAACCTTTCCTTTTACTTTCGTTTCCGTGTATAGTTCTTTCATCACTTTGTTGTTTTTAATCAGTGGGGTTTCATCGTCAAAGCTTTCTTCCACAATTGACTCTTCTTTTCCGCTCTTTGCTTTATCTTTTTCAATATATATCATACTTTTAGTTTCCGTACTTTTTGGGGTTTTACACTGGATCGGGTGCATTTTACCATTTTTCATTGTTATGACGTTGTTAGACCTGTTGGCGTACTTTACAGATGGTGTAACCAAGATCACTATTTTGTCTTTCAAAAATTTTTTAATGCATTCCTCAAATACAAAATCTGCAACAATTGCATCCAAGCTAGCCAGGCAATCATCTAATAAATATATGTCACGTTCTTTATAAACAGCCCGCGCTAAATTTATTCTAGCTTGTTGCCCTTTACTTAGATTAGCTCCGCCATCAGTTACAAGGGCGGAATCACCATCGCTTAAAGAAATTAGATCTTCAAGTAGAGCACAAACTCGTAAAACTTCTAAGTAACGATTTTCGTCGTAACTACTTCCAAATAAGATGTTCTGTTTGATGGTCGATGGAAAAAGCCAGGGTTCTTGAGATGCGTAAGAAATGCTGCCAACGACTTCTAAATCGCCTTCTACATTTTTGTATTCTTTTGTCAGGACTTTTAACAGAAGACTTTTGCCACTGCCAATAGGTCCTGTTACTGCTGTTATTCCTCCTGCAATGTTACACTTTTTCAAATTTATTAGTGTATGGTTATGTGCAGTATGAATTTTTAAATTCAAGTTGATTCTTGCTGAAAGCTTATTGTCTTCCGCGAATGATTCATCACTCTTAATTCGCAGTGTTTGTCCAATCCGTTTAAATACGGCAATTAAAGTAGCTACTTCATGTATCGCTGTTGGAAAATTGCCTTTCATGCCATATGAAACAATAGTTAGACTGTTTATTATGAGAAATAATGTCCCGGTGGTTGATTGAATGTTGAACCATATGGATATTGCTACAACTATGTACCAAGACGCGTTGTGAAATGATTCAGATAGGACCAATTTTAGAAATAATAATATATTTATGTTGCGTATAAGCCGAATTTCTTTACTGGAAATAAAAAAAAAGCATACGATTAATCAGTTGTTTACTACCTTACTTTCTGATTTTAGCAATTTTCTTTTCATAACTTTCCTCCCAAAGGTTCATTTTGATCACTTTTATCGCACTTAATGCTTCTTTTATTATTTGATGTCTTCGATCAGTTTGGTTCAAAGATTTCAATTTAAGTTTACGCACTAAAGTTGCAATGCATGCTGAAAAAATTTAAAATATAAATGATTATGTAAGTTTGTGCCTGCTTACAATTGACGAACATGGTGATAAAAATTATTGTGGGAATTATAAGAAATAACCATCCAATTTCTGAATATAGAACCCAACATACTGCCACAATCTTGGTTAGATCTTTTATCATGTTGGTTATTTTAGATACAGCTTCTTCAAATTCACTCACATCTGTGGTTATGAGATTTATCATTTTGCCACTTTGAACTACTGACGGGTTCATTCTTAAAAGTTGTCTGTAGATTAAAGATGTGAATCCAGCACGCATTTTAATCCCAAATTCTGAAAGCCTTAGAAAAAAGTTGTGTAGGTGCAGACGTCTTATAACCGTAACTACGATCAACAATAGTCCATACAAGCTTGCATCAGTTCTGCTTAGATTATTGTGTCCTGGTGTAAAATATGATATGAATTTTTTTAGTATCTTTGGTTGCAAGAACCTAAACAAATGATTACAACGAGGTGAAATTATTATTGCGTTATCGTAAACACATACGTTATTGTCACTGGGATGACCAAACTGAATATTATTAGAAGATATTGTCTGCCAAAACATTTCCAAAGAAGTTTAGGTATAGATGTCTTATTTTCATCCATTTGTGCCTTCCACTCCTTTTCTAATTTATCTCCTAATGTTTTTGACTTATGTTCGGGAAGCACTTCATATATATCATTTTGAGTCAGGTCTGTTCTGTAACCCTTGATGAATGTATTCTTTGTATATCTAAAATTCGTAATTACTCACATAGTTCAATTTTTTTTTGTTAACTTACAAAAAAAATAAATTCCAGAACCAATGTCTGTTTTTCTCCGGGTTAATTGATTTTTTGTTTGTTTTGTGGTAGTCCATTTAAGCATTACACATAATACTTTCAATAGTAACTATTGTTTTGGAAAATATATTGTTTAACTCTGCCCTTTTGTTGTCAACTAATGTTAAGTTGCTTAGATTAAAGTGTGAAGAATATTTGCAAATACTTATATATAGAGCCACTTTCAAGCAATTGACTGTATTATCATTGTAAAATACTGGCAATAAAAAAAGAGTCGATTACGTCAGTTTCGATAAGCGTACGGCCAAATTATCCTGATGTGTGAAAAATATGGGGCAAGTTTTGATAAGAATTCTACCAGTGGATATGCAGGAGGTCAAACTTTTGCATACGAAATACGTAATGCCACAACGGCATAATTCTAACATGACTTAATTATTTTTTTGGGAGGTTATAAACGAAATATGTTTCATTAGTGGTTTATCATCAAGGATGTTTAAATTTGTAGAGAAAGTACAGTGCTTTTTGTTTTGTATCGTACATTTACAAACCCGCTCTTCGAGAATGCCCGGTTTCTGAAAGACGTCCCTAACAGTTCTAGAACTATCAGACACATAAAGTTGTTGAACCGATAAATGAGGAGAGCGTTTCTGAACGCTGTGTTTGGCGAACGTATTATCCTCTTGGTACTTATGAATATGAGCTTGTTAAGCAGTTACGCTTTAATGCAATAGGTGGTGCCTATGTTGAACGAGCAGCCACAGTATAGATATCAATCAGTAGAGACAGCTCGTGTCGGCGCCTTTGTTCTTTCTGACCCGAATTTTAAGCCGTCATGGGTGGTCGTTGCCTAAACTATTCCTAGATGTCGCTACCCAATTTAAAAAGTATCACTTCATTTACAACTTCAAAAATTGATTCGTGTACGCAATTTATTGCAAACTGTGTAGTTTGCTCAAATCGGATAATCGTGAATCGCAATAAGAAAAAAGAAAAGTCGATATTTAATTTATAAACACGATGATTTGTTACAGTTTTTATTTTATTACTTATACAATTTGACAATTCGCACATTCTTCCCCGAATATTTTGAGGTTTAATTATTATCATTGTAAAAATAATGTAATAAATACATCTAAAAAGAAAGAGGTTTATTTAAGAAAAAATAAATAAAATAAAAATTAAATTACAAAAAGGAAAAAAGTTAATGCTGCCAAATTATTTTCTTTCTATTAATTTTTTCACCTTTGGCATTTGTAAATTTTAAGCTAGCATTTACAAATTTTAGTGCTTAAAATAATCTCATCCTAGCATACAAAGCAAGCAAATAATCGTATGGAAAGTTTTGGCACGGATGAACAAATGTAGCTTGCTTATATAAATTTAAAAATTTCAACAAAGTAGTTGTTTGTAAAATTATATTTTCAAAATTTTCACTAAAAATTTGCTCTAATTCACAAATGTAAAAAAAAGAAATTATCGTTTGGCATACATAATTTACCAAATAACTGGCAATTCTTCGTTTGGTAGGCTCTGAAATGTGAATATATGCTTGTGTTGTCTAAACTTTTATGTTCATTTGCATATTTTTCACATTCACTACAACTATGTACTAATAAACATTTCCGAATTAGGTAGCCACAGATATATCTAATTGCGTTTTGTTCAGCTGTGTGAATGTGATAATCACAATCTTTTAAGGTGATCTTCTGCATCGTGGTGACTGATTCTTCTTCATCAAAACGACGACTTACATTTAACTTTAAAATTTCTTCCATATCAGGCTCGCAGTTTTGATTACCTGTGTTCGTTTCATCAAAATAATATTGTATGATTAATTTTCTAAAAGCCATTTGAAATTGATTAGATGTGGAGTTAATAGAATTTCCATATTATTTCCTAATCCATCCAAAACAGTTTTCTAGTGCGTCTTGGCAAAGGCGTCGTGTTAATATATAGTCAAACCCATTTTACCTAACAACTTAACCCGCAAGCGTAATATCATATAAAGTAAAATTTTTATTTAAAAAAAATTATTACAAAAAAAATGCATATTTGTCGGTGCAGGTAATTGGTATGGGTCGACGCAGGTAAGAATAATTAAGGAATTCATGAAACCGGAAGTCCATAGGGATTAAGGGAAAAAGGATATTTGACAAAATGTACGGCTTGGGTCATTTTTACCCAGGCGCGACTGCTTATGGGTTAAGCAACGTCTCAAAATAAAACTCAAGATTGTGTAGGTCAAAAAAAAATATATGTATATACATGATGAATAAAAAAAATGTTTATTGAGAGAAGGTCCGCTTATATAATTTTTTGTTACGTGTAGTTTGTTTCTAATTATTTTTATATTTAATTTCACCACAACAACGGAATCATATATAATACATTTTTATTATTTATTTCATAACCACCGTTGTTGTCCGTTTGCGACGACTTTTTAAACAAAAAGTGTGTTATGTTTACTATCTTTTCCAAGAATTCCTAACACGATGGAGAGAATAACGCGCACAACAGGGATCCTGTATGAAAATTCAGCGGACAAAGATTTTACCTTTTATTGTGAAAATTTATTTATTTATTTATTTTATTTGTAACGGAATCTCCAATTTACATTATGAATTATTAAACTAAATTAACTAAATAATACATTTTCTAACAGAGTGTTCCCTAATAAGTAAATTCAAAAACAAAAACAAAAAAAATACATTTTTATACTATTTGTACAATTCTATCGGAAAAGCAGTCTTAAACAAGCCGACCACCCACGAAAACGGGTCACGAAAAACGGCGAGCTGTCTCTACTGATTGATATCTATACTGTGGTGCAGCCTGTAGCGAGATTTGTTGGTTGCCTATATCGCCGAAAGAACAAAAAAGTAATACGAAATGTGAATGAAAATTTCGGTTCATTTTCAAACTTTTAGTTTCGTTAATTTTTATTGTGTTAATTGTTGAAGAATGGAAATGAGTATGGATAATAAAACAACAAAAATAAATCAGACGACGGCCAAAAAATTTTTGGGACGGGAGAAACATTTATTACATATTTGATATGATAAATCATATACTTACTACTGAAAATAAAATACTGACGATGTTGCACGCCCTTTACGATATGCTAAAGAAAACAAGAATTATTCCAAATAATGATAATGATTTTATAAAGGACTTCACACATTAAATACTTTTAATTTTTTACAAAAATTTCTACAAAAGACTAGTTTCGTTCCAAAAATAAAATAAATCCGTTGAAACGTAAAATTTTTATGATGTGATTACAATAAGGATACGAAACATTTTTTATATACTTAAATCTAAGATATAAAATTTATTATATTTTAGTTTTTATTTAATTTTTATCGAAAGTTATGTTTACATGTAACGTATTTTTATTCTGTTTCTATTTTTGCCGTCTCTATGCATCTTATTAATACTAGAAACAATTTCCAATACAAAAAATGTATTAAGTACTTTCACTTAAGTTTTCACGTTGATACAGAAAATCAAGGCCATAACTTAAAACGTTGTCTACGCAAGTTGCAGTGCGCAGACGTTGTAGGTTACATAGATTCTTATTTGCCGCTTGTAGCCGCGATAACTTTGGAGACCGCTATGAGATACATAAACACTGTCGAAGCTTTCAGAAACGAATTTCGTGCTTTACAAAGTACATAACTTTATGGAATCCACAAATTTGTTTCTAGAAACTGGGCATGTCCAGTGGCGGAACTAAATTTACCGCTGTCTATTAATTTTAATACAATTGTCATTGTTCTAGATTTTAGTGGATATTTGCAAATACCAGATACGCGAACGTGCGGGAAGTGTATTAACCACACATTCTGTTTAAAAACCAACATTTTTTGTTTTTCTTGAAATTGTATGAAACTCAAACTCGTCAGCCACTGTAGTGCGATCCAATCAACATCTCGCGCCTCAGATCTCTCACCTGGGAGATGTTGGTCACACTTTGATATATGGCAGGTATATGGGGTTTGCATGATTTCAGAGTATTTTTGGTTTTGGCAGTGATTACATTAGCTATATAGCCTTATTTAAATAACTCGTTGCCTTAATTACCTCGTAGGTTTTAAACAGTATGAACAGTGTTCGGGACAGATACTTTTAAAAGTATCTAGATACAGATTGTTTTCGATTTTTTCGAAATGTATCTAGATACAGATACAAGAAAACAGATACTTTTTGAAGCTCTGGTGAATAAAATAACTGAAAACATGTTTATGTATTTTTGTATGTATTGTTTAATGATTTTTTTAAAATTAACAGCATTTCGAACGTATTGTCACCTAAATTATTTCTTCTTGGTGTCAGAATTTGGTTTCCGCTACTAAACACCCGTTCCACAGGTGCAGAAGAAGAGATTGTGGTATTAAATTTAACAAATAAACATTTTACTGTAGCATAGTTATTGAAGACTGAAAATTTTTTTCTTTTTTCCTGCAAATAGGCCATCGCTTCGCTGTTTGATGTGTCGCAAATTGTGCAATATTTATTACGTACGCTTAAAAAGAATATTTTTTTTGTTTTTATTCCCATTCTACAGTGTCCAAATTGTGTTTGAGTATATCTAATAAATTATCTCCAGCATTAAAATTAATAATTCAAAAGAATACGGGAAATGATTATTCTGTGCTGAAGGTCTGTTGTCGGCAACCTGTCATAAATTATTATTCTTCAATATCGGCTTACGATGTTTTTATGACCATGTCCGTTAATCGTCTATCCCGGTGCGGCAGGTATATACATTTTAGGTAGAATTGCTGGTTCCGTTTAAGGCAAAATAAGTACAATTTCTTAGAAAGGTATTTTAACCCTTTTATAGGATCAAAGGCTGCCTGGCAGGCCGGAAGCACCAGAGTGCAACTTTAAATTTTCAAATTTTTGTTGAAACTCATTTTATTTTAATCTCGTTTCACGATTTCTGAGAATATATCACGATAAATTATTCTACCAAGGGTTGTAATAGTTATTTATGTTACAAGTGTTGAAAACGGTCCATTGCATTACGAACGGGAATACGGCGCGAGACGCAGTCGAGCGCTGTATGTAAGTGAGTAATGCAATGGAGTTTTCACGCGAGTATCATACAATATTTTTTGCGCTGCCTTTTTGAAAAAATAACATTTTTCAATCGCTAAAAGAATAAATATTACTGAACCGAAATTATGTTGGTATTGAATTTATTACCAAATACGTCAAATACCAATCTGTCAATTTGTCCGGGCAAAATTTGGAATTTCAAAGTTGAAATGGAAAATCGTGCACGTATTCAGAAAATTGCAGATAAAGCAACTGCAAATTTGTTGCCTGCAAAATCTGCAGGTCCATATGAAGCCGAATATCAAAAATTCAACAAGTGGTGCGAAGAAAATAAAATACGCGAATTTTCTAAAACGACGCTCGTGGTTTATTTCCAAATTAAGTCGGAAATTATGAAAACCTCCACGCTGTGGACAATATATTCAGTTCTGAAAAGTCCTCTTGGCATGAAACATAACATAAATCATTCGAAATTTTATAAATTAACAGCGTTTTTAAAGCGGCAGAATGACACAAGCCCAAGAAGTCTGAAATACTTACCAGTGGACACATTTTTATTTGCGGCTCCAGATCAGAGAGAATCTTGTGATTATGATTCAGCGTGAGGTTGCGAATAACGTCAAGTTTAAACGGTTTTTTTAATTAACAAGAACTACTAACAAATAGTAATAACATAATAGTTGTCAACAACATAAACCAAACCATCAAATAGTGTCAACTGTCAAATTACTACAAATCCAAATTTTGATCAACAAATTCCCCTATTTAAGATTACAACTTAAATTGCGCTTTTTTAAAATTTCGAGCCACTTTTTGTTATAATAACTTTAGATACATGATTATCAATTAGTAGTAATTACTTTGTGATAATCAATTTATTTTTTCAAAGCTTAAATTCCTCCTTTGTATTTTGCGGCACTAGATCCTTTTTCATTGCCATTTCGACACGCCACGTGTCAACGTAAAATGTCAATTACAACTATGGCAGCGCAAAAAAATATTAATTTTATTGCCCAAGATAATTACACCTAAACAAAATCGGCACATTCTAGGGCAAAGCCCGCCTCGCGTTAGGTCCAACAATGAAAAAGTGAAGAAATGACACATGTGGCAACAGGAAAAGATGCTACATTTGTCTGAAAAATAAAGATATAAAACAGTAACAAATCTGCGATTTATGCGAGAGAAATATATGTATTGAACATTCGGTTAGTCGATTATAGAACTAATTTGTGCTAATTGAAAAAATTAATCATTATGTAACACGCAATTATTATTTTCTAAAAGTAATAACATACCTTAAACAAATATTTTTACTATTAAAATTACTCTTATTTAATAACACAAATACAACCAGCGGGCCTACCGGACCCGGGTTGCTCAGGTACACAGATAAAATGCATTGCCCCTACAAGTGTAAAACGCAGTGAATAGTGAATTGTGGTTTATGGTTTTTAAAATATCATCTTACCATGGCTTAGATTTATTACCCCTCAGGATTATATTTAAAGATGTATAAGTACTGAAGGCTACAGTGTAGGAAATGATGGTATTTAAAATATGAAAATTTCCGTGACAGAACACTATTAGTGGACCTCTTACCTCTATTTTTGTTTATGTGACCAAAATCGCCAACATGAAGTATCAAAAATTACTACTAGTATAACTAATAACTACTGAAGTTATTAGTTATACTAGTAGTAGTAGTATTAGTGGGCCGAATTTGCGTTCTATTTTTTTTTTTTTTTCAATAAAAAAACTCGATTTTTAACTTTTTATTTTAAAAACTCTGTTTATACACTAAAATTACATATTTTAAATCCATAATTCTACAATATTTCATACTTAATTTATAATCTTACCTTATGATTTATGATCAAAATTTTAGGACTGATAAGATTAAAAATCGATTTTTTAAATGCTTATTGAGCAAACTATTTATTTTGTTTTTCGTTGGCGCTTAAATAATAATTTAAATATTCTATATTGATCTGAATTTGAACCATGAAGACAGCCATTTCTGTCTGGAATCAGACTGTGCAATTGTTCCGGTAATTGATTTTGTTCTTGAAAATCGATCACCTTTACATTTACAGCTTTATAGTAATTCTCTTTTGGTGAAAACCTAACCGCTATGTTCGGGAGGTTATCCGGTGAAGAAGCCCATGCATAAAGTTCTGTCTTAAACAAAAATAATATTGTTATCAAAATTGTGACATTTATCCTACAAGTTCAAGCCAATGGGAGGGAATTATCAAATTTTAGTCTTACCAAACGGATTCCATTTATTTTCTTTATTCCATAGTGCTTCCAGTTTGTCTCCTAATAGTTGTGTCTCATGATCTCTTGTCGGTGTTATGAAGTCGTCATCACTTACTCCATTTTTCCAACACTTCAAAATTGTTTTCAGCTGCCAACTAAAATTTGCAAATATAATGTAGCTAAACCGGTGGAAAATCTATACCAGAACAAAAATTGAGACAAGAAATTCGCCTCTTCCTTGGGATGAACATTTTTCGGTGTCTTATTAATTATAATTTTTTTTGTTCTCAGTGAATCCATTGAAAAATATACTTCTAATCGTTTTAGTTTGGAAAACTAAAACTACTGAGTAAAATGTTTTCATGTTTATGTTTAAAAATGAAGTGGAATAAAACATCAATTAAGGAAATTTTTAGGTGACTATAATGAATAACTCTTGCCGCTCTGGGTATACAGTGATTACATTTGCTATAAAGTTTTTTGTATATATTTTGTTGTCTTAATTACCTGGTAGCTTTTAAACTGTATGAATGGCATTGGAGTTAACGAGCTACTCATAACACTATCAGTGTGTTAACTTTTTGTCACTTTTAGATACGTAACTGAAGCATAACATTTTGAGAACGCTCTTCTAAGCTGAAGTTTATGGTCACGTACGCCATCATTTTTTTTATACTTTTTTTCTGGATTGTCTCCGTCTAAATTTTATGTATTCGATTGAATTTTTTCTCAAAAAAAGTAATTTTGCAAAACTAACGGTGTAACAAGGCAATAGAATATTTCTATTTCTAGGGCTACATAACGACAATGTTACACCAGACAGTTGCAATTTCGAGTATTTAAAATATTGTTAAGGTATTTTACACTTTATTTACTATCTACACGCTTTATTCTATTTTACAAAATCGTCGTCGTGTTAATCCGCCTCGTTTCTGTCTATTACTTTTTTAACCAATAGATTTTCAATGTCCAAATTACTCCGATATGTAATCCAATGCATTTTTGTTCTCATTGTTTCTAATGTTCACGTTAGATATTACCGTACCTATCATTTTAATTCTATTATTATTTTAAGGACCACGTGGTAGATATGACGAAAAGAAGACACGGAAAACATGATTTACTTAAGATATTTTAATAAATTTGTGGTAATAAGTCGACCAAATGTACTTTAATATGTTCATATGATTCACTTTCTTGGGTTTTATAATTTTATTATTTATTGTTTAATAAATTTTTGATACTGTTACTTTGTGAAAGTGAAGAAGAAAATAAATCTTGAACTACTGCATCGACGAAATCAATAAGAGTGATGGTGTAATGGATAAGCTAACGTTTTCTACTTGCTTTTTGAAGATTACTACAAAGAATACAGGGTGATTATTTTATCTGTTCAATGCCTGAATACTTTTGTGTAGGCAACACATTATACACATCATTAGCAACTTCGATCTGTTTATTAATCTTTTTAAATTAGCAACCGTAGTTAGTAAATGCAACAACACAAACATCACATTATGTCATAAATGACAAATGACAAAACGATAAGCAGCTCACAAGTCTTAGGTAATTGACGTTTAAAATTTTTCTTTCAGAATGTTTATTTATATTATTATATTAAGTACTATGTGGTAATTATGACATAAAGTAGACATAGAAAACTTGATTTATTTAAAACACTTGAATACATTTAGGGTACTAATCCTCTCCCACATTTACATTAATAAGTTCAAATGATGGGTCCACTGAGTGCTCCACTTTCTTTGGTTTTATAGTTTTATTATTTCATTGTCTCTCAAACAAGTTGCTAAGCATCCCATTTTTTTTCTTCAGCAAGCTAGCGGGATCACCAGACTCAATAATCACACCCTTATCTACAACTAATACTAGGTCAAAATCTAAAATGTAACGCAACTTGTGCATAATTGCGATAACGGTATATTCAGCAAAAATTTCTGATATTACTTTTTGTATCAAAGCTTCAGTATCATTATCGACAGTAGCATTACATTCGTCAAAAATTACGATTTTGTTACGCTGAACGAGAGCTCGACACACACAAATGAGTTGTTTTTGACAAATGCTTAAATTCATGTCAATTTTCTCATCCAAATTTTGAAAGAGTGACAAATTCACGGTTGAAATAGCTTTCCAAATATCATCGTCTGAATGTTGTCGTGTAGGATCAATATTTTCACGTAACGTTCCCGAAAATATAGTAGGTTCTTGTGGAACTACAGATATTTTTGTCCTGAGGAAATCCACTGGAAGTGTTTTGATGTCTACGTTGTCGATAAAAATGTTTCCTTCGAAATCGTAAAGTCGGACGAGTGTAGAAATCAATGATGTTTTTCCGGAACCAGTTCTACCAACGATGGCAACCTTTTCTTTATTTTTGATGGCGAAGTTTAAATGTTTTAAAACATGGTCTTGGTCGCTCTTGTAAGAAAGGGACACGTCTTTAAATCGTATTTCACATCCCTTTGGCCAATGTTCTATTACTAAACCACCTTTGTTTTCCTGCTTTTGTTTAGTGTATTCCAAAACTCTTTCTACTGTGATCATTCGATTCTCAAGTCTAGTCATCATACAATAAAAGACAAGCTGTGCAGTTGTCAGACTAAAGATTTGTGACAAAACAAGTCCAACTTTCCCTGTTGTCATTTCTAAAAAATATTGTTAATTAGCGTCACTTGGTTTTCAAGATTTCAATTTACTCTCATCTAGTCCTAAAAAAAGGATAATTGCGAAAATAAGGAGAATAATTTGGTCGGCTCCTATCAGAAGAAGATATGCTTTCTCACAACATGTGTACATGTAAGAAGAGGAAGCATACAAATCTTGATGTCGGTCAAATTCTTTTCGAAGTGTATTTTCCATTCTTGAGGTCCTAATGGTTGTCAGTCCGTCTAAAGTTGCATTGATATACCCAATTACAGGACTTCGTGCTAACATAATCAAACTTATCATTAAAAAAATATATAATTACACTTACTTAAGAATTCGAGTCGCTTTAAAGCATTCCCAATTTTTAAGTAGAACATTAGTACGAAAACCAGGAATATATTAATTAGAATGCATGGAATTAGGAATGTTGCATTAACTGTAGCTATGAGGATAATAACTCCAACTATTCCGACAAAACACTAAAATTCAGAAATTTTATAAGCCACTTTATGAAATTAACCTATTTACACAAATTAGTTGAAGAAACGTCAAGGGTACTATTTCATCAATGTACAGTATGTCTTCTGAAAATCTATTCAAAATAATTCCTATTCGATTTTTGTCGAAGAATTGCATGAAATTGCGAACTACATTAGAGAAAAGTAAACTGTGAAGCTTTTGAGAAGCCTTGGCAGCAAGCACCCAGAAAAAACATATATTCAATAACATTAATAAGGTCGTAGTTGCAATAATTATGGGTAGAACAATTAACATTTGGTGACGTTTTTGATTTGCCTCAGTATAAATTTTCTCGTTTGTGGCATTGCTAAACAAAATTTGTTCTGCATTTATCCTACAAGTCCATATCAAATCAATGAGAGGAAATTATCAAGTTTTAGTCTTACCAATCGGATTCCATTTTGTTGATGGAACTTTTCAAAAACTGAATCACTCCAGTGATAAGTAAGATTAAAACAATTTTGACCAACCCTCCATTTACTTCAATATATTTTTTATAAACATTGAAGTGTACTTTTCCTTGTACTTTTGTTTCTGTGTAGAGTTCTCTGGTCTCTTTGGTCTTTTTAATCAGTGGGGTGTCATGGTTAATGTTTTCAGATGACTCATCTGTTTCGCTCTTTGCTTTATCTCTTGCAATATATTTTATACTTTTTGTGTCCGCATTTTTTGGGATTTCACTGTTGATAGGGTGCGAATTTTCCAATGTACCATTTTCCAGTGTTATGACCTTATCTGACCTATTGACGTATTTTATGGATGAAGTAGCCAAGATCACTATTTTGTCTTTCAGAAATCTTTTAATACATTGCTCAAATACAAAATCTGCAACAATCGCATCCAAACTAGCCAGACAATCATCTAATAAATATATATCACAGTTTTTATAAACAGCTCGCGCTAAATTTATTCTAGCTTTTTGTCCTTTACTTAGATTAGCTCCTCCGTCAGTTACAATAGAAGAATCACCATCGGTTAAAAGTCGTAATTCTTCAAGTAGAGCACAAACTCGTAAAACTTCTAAGTAACGATTTTCGTCGTAACTACTTCCAAATAAGATGTTGTGTTTGATGGTCGATGGAAAAAGCCAGGGTTCTTGTGATGCGTAAGAAATGCTGTCGACGACTTCTAAATCGCCTTCTATATGTTTGTATTCTTTTGTGAGGACTTTTAATAGAAGACTTTTACCACTTCCAATATGTCCTGTTACTGCTGTTATTCCTCTTACAATATTGCACATTTCCAAAGTTATTATTGTATCGTTATGTGCAGTGTGAATTTTTAAATTCAAGTTAATTGTTGGTGAAAGGTTACTGTCTGCCACGTACGATTCTTCACTCTTAATTCTGAGTGTATGTCCAATTCGTTTAAATACGGCAATCATCGTGGCCATTGCATGTATCGCTACTGGAAAATTAATTTTTATACCTTGAGAAACAAAAGTTAGACTGTTCATTATAACAAATAATGTCCCGGCATTTGATTGGATCTTAAACCATATCGATACTGCCACAATTATGTACCACGACGCATTATGAATTGATTCAGAAAGGACTAGTTTTAGAAAAAGGAGTATATTTACGTTGCGAATAAGATGAACTTCTTCACTATAAATAAAAACACAAAAACACGCAATTAGCCATTTGTTCACACCCTTACTTTCTGATTTTAGCAATTTTCTTTTCATAACTTTCCTCCCAAAGGTTCATTTTGATGACTTTTATTGCACTTAATGCTTCTTTTATTATTTGATATCTTCCATCGGTTTTCCTCAAAGACTTTAATTTAAATTTACGCACTAAAATTGCTATACATGCTGAAAAAATATATATTAAAGGCTACATGATGATCATAGTTTTTGCCTGCTCACAGTTGACGAACATGCTAATAAAAATTATTGTGGGGATCATAAGAAATAACCATCCAATTTCTGAATATAGGACACAACATGTTGCTACAAGGTTAGATAGATCTATTATTACGTTGGTTATTTCATATATGGCTTCTTCAAATTCACTCACGTCCCTCGTTATCAGATTTATCATCTTGCCGTTTTCAACCAGTGTCGGGTTAATTTTTAAAACTTGCCTGTAGATTAAAGATGTGAATCCTGTACGCAATTTAATGGCAAATTCTGTAAGCCTTAAATGAAAATTCAATTGGTACACACGTCTGGTAACCATAACTACAATCAACAATACACCATACAAGCTCGCATCAGTTTTACTTAGGTTATTGTGTCCTGGTGTAAAATATGAAATGAATTTTTTTAGTATCTTTGGTTGCGTCAACCTAAACAAATAATTAAAACGGAGATGAAATCGTCAATACGTTATAGTAAATACGTCAGTGTCACTGGGATGACCAAGCTGATTAATATTAAAAGATATTGTCTGCCAAAACACTTCCAGAGAAGTCTAGGTATAGATGTCTTGTTTTCATCTATTTGTGTCTTCCACTCATTTTCTAATTTGTCTCCTAATGTTTCTGACTTATGCTCTGGAAGCACTTCGTATATATCATTTTGAGTTAAATCAGTTTTATAACCCTTGATAAAAATATCCTTAGTATATCTAAAATTTAAATGAACTCAAATTATTGTAAAAGCTTTTTTTCGAGTTGATTGTTACTTACAAAAAGAATAAATTCGAAAACCAGTTGCTGTTTTTTTCCGGATTAGTGGATTGTTTGTTTGGGGTGTAATGGTCCATTAAAGTTTTGTATATAATACTTTAACTATTTAGTACCGTTTCAAAAGGTATGCTGTTTAATAGCACTATTTATCCTCTTCACGAATGTGTGAATAGTATTTAAATAAAAATGTAGAGTCATGCTCATGTGGGCTATAGTGTTTCAACCTATTACAAAAGTTTTTGTAGTAAAGGAAGGTAATCAAGATATAAATAGTTGAAGAAAACGCTTTAACGATAAATGTACGGTCTAATTATCCTAGTATGTGGAAAATATATGATAAGAACTGTTTACCAGTGTGTATCCACGAGGTCAAAATTTTCCATACGGACGACATTATGTAACAGATTTAAATTGTCCGCCCATGTAATTATGTACAATAAATTTATATCATTTGATGGCTTTTTATTCCTTTAATCAGTTGTGGTCATTACTTTTAACACGTATTCAGTTTCAATCATTAATGATTTTTTGCCACACTTACTTTTCTCTTCATCTTAATTGAATTGATGAGTTTAAAAACAATACATGTTCCAATACCTCATTTTGAGAAAATACGTGCCAACGAATTATATCTATTTTTTTTCCAATAATGCCTGTTTATAAAAATTGTTGGTTGTTGTAAAATTATGTGTGGAAGACACAATTGTCATTCCCCAGAGATGTTTAGCCCTTAAAAATTCACATAGGTTTAACTTTAATATAAAAAAAAATATTAAAAATAAAACAATGGACTTGTACTGTTTTTTGACTGAGTGACTTGGCAAAATGATTTAAACACGACGTGAGAAATAATTATTTTATTAACGGAAATACATTTGAAAATTAAAAAAAAAACGTGAAATCTTCTTCTGCTGTACTCTTCCAATCGAGAATTTTTTCATAAAATTTCATTTTTTCAACAGGCACATATCTCGATACTTTGCTTAAATCTTTAATTTTTTTTTTTCATTGATTGCCACTATTCCCGTGTATGCTGATATCGTTGGTAAAGATGAAATTTCTCTACGATTTTTTTTTAAATAAAAGCTACGAAAAACCCCTCCATCAATATATTCGTATGTGGTTACGTAGCCAGGAGTCGAACTATCATAGAGAAATTGGCGGTACGATAATATAGTGTAAGTATCTTTATTTTCAAGAGATATTGAAGTACTACTATTTCTAAAAATAGCAGGCCACCAATTTTTAAAATCCACTATGCCAGAATACTGCGCAGGTTTTACTTCAAACGGGTTAGCGTTTTTCCTACATTCACTATTGTCTGATATTCTTCTGGCAGATAAATGCGATCATGTTTTTTTATATGTATAACGTTTAATGTGACCAAAGTCCCCATCAAAAATGATTGACGCCGTACAGGAAAATAGTGGATAATTTTTTTGAATCGTTTTGATGGTATGATTTTTATTTTGTCCTGGACATGCTTCAGAAAAAATATGAAATATGAGTTCTTATACATCCGCCGGAATGTGATGATTGATATAATCATACAGAAATGGGCAGACCTCATCTGGACCTTTGTGTGCCTGCCCTTCATGATACATGTAACAAGTTCCATGACCGTTTCCGAGTTGAAAGTAAATTTCTTGGACTGGAATATGAAGAAGCTGCAAATTTTGCATAAAATCAAAATAAATTCCAACCACTTTTGAATTTTCTTTAGATTCTTTTTTATTATTATTATTATTATTATTATTAAAATGAAGCGCTCGGGCAGAGACCGAAGTCTGTTATGCCCGCGCAAGACGACAATTGATGCAATCACAAATTATTTTAAATATAATAAATTATGGATATAACTACAACTATCTACGGTTTCGAAAGGTGTCGTAGTTGACCTTAAATCTAGGAACGGAAGCACTTTCAACAACTTCAGGGGGTAATGCATTCCATTCGGTGAATACCCTGTTAGTGACGAACGTCTGACGAATGGAAGTCCGAAAATTGTCCTTCTCCAATTTGAACCGGTGACCTCTGGTTCGTCCATCAATGTTGACAGGAAAAAGATGTCTGATAGGTGAACTAATATTTGTAAAAGCCTGAAATGTTGTCAACATGTCACCTCTTACACGCCTGTCGGCTAACGATGGCAATTTCATAAGATTAAGTCTGTCAGGGTAAGAGGGGCACACTTGTCCGTACGGTATTCTTGTGGCACGACGCTGGACAGATTCTAGTAAATTGATATCACGTTGTAATGTTGGAACCCAAACGCAGTTGGCATATTCTAATATCGGTCTAACATAAGTTTTATACAGTTTAGTTACAGTATTTACATCAGCTTTAGCAAATGTCTTTCCGAGAAGATATAGTATCTTGTTGGCTTTTTTCACGACTTTTGTGATATGTTCAGACCATGTCAAAGTAGACGTTACGATAACACCCATATCCGACAAAGAAACACACTTGGTAAGCTCGGTGCCGTTGATATAATAAGTTTGCTTTGGATTGTCGCTGCCTAAATAAAGGATATTACATTTGTCCGCATTAATTGGAAGTAACCATTTTAGTGACCAGTTATAAATAGTTGCTATATCCTTCGTTAAGACTTCATAATTGGAACAAATATTGTAGATTTTCAAATCGTCAGCATACATTGCCCAAGGAGAAATTAAGCAGTCTTTTATGTCGGATACATACGCTAAAAACAACAAGGGTCCTAATACAGAGCCCTGTGGTACACCGCTCAGAACTGGAAAAGGAGAACTAAACATATCACCAACCTTAACCTTAAATATTCGGTCAGAAAGAAAAGATTCAATCCACCTGAGAAGACTATCTTGGATTCCATAATGTCGTAATTTCAAAAGGAGTCGGCGTTTCGGCACACGATCGAAAGCCTTCGAAAAATCAAAATACGCGATATCTACTGAGCCACCAGAATCGAGTTCTCTAGTCCAGTTGTCTAAACAACAGAGCAAATTGGTCGCTATGGACTTTCCAGGTGTGAAACCATGTTGCTCACGAGGTATAACCTGGTGTGCTGTTAAAAACGCCACCAACTGATCGTAGATGATACATTCCATTAGTTTCACTACTACTGAAGTTAAACTTATAGGCCTATAGTTCGCCGCATTAAACTTGTCCCCTTTTTTGAACACAGGTGTGATGGTGGCAGTTTTCCAATCGTTTGGCAATCGTCCTGACCGAAATGATTGCTTCATCAACATGCAAAGCGGGCGAGCAAGGGAACTGCCACACTCTTTTAAAATTTTTGCACTAATACCATCAGGACCAGGAGATTTGGTAGTATCTAATTTGTGCAATTTATCATTTATTAAATCGTAGGAGAAGCATATACCACTAAGACAATCGAAGTTATGAGTAGTCAACAAATTCGGTATATCCGCGTCTGGTTCAATTGTGAACGACTGAGCAAAAGTTTCAGCAAAAATGTTGGCTGTAACGCAATCGTCCTCTATAATGTGCCCGGTTGCATCTTTCACCTGCGGCTTTCTGACAGGCCCTGATAATTTATTGCGAATGTAGCTGTAGAACTTTTTGGGATTTTTCTGATCGGCAATACTTTTTTCATATTTATGTTTTACATCTTTGATGATTGACGAAACGCGGTTAGAAAACGCACGATGAACCTTATAATCATCTTCCTTGCCTGTTCGTTTAAAGGTTCGCCAAAGTGAACGTTTCTTTTTTATTAATTTTAATATTTTGTTGTCAATCCATGGTTTAGAAGAAGATGCTTTGTAAGTGATGGTGTAAGAATACTTATCAGTTGCTAGTTTTAAATGATTTTTAAAACTTTCCCAATTTGTATCAACCGATGGATGGTTTAAAAGGGTTGCCCAGTCTACAGTAGACAAATATTCATCAGCTTTTTTAAAGTCAACAATCCGCTTTTGTAAGGTAACAGTTTTAGATCTCGCTACAAAACAAAGTTGGAGATCTAGCTTTAAAGTTACATGATCAGATTTGCCGAATGGGTTTAAATAATTCAAATTTGCTAGTGAAGTATCATCAGACGTTAAAATCAGATCTAATGTAGACGGTCTTTGGTTCAGCCTATAACGGGTGGGTTCATTAACAAGTTGGTTCAAGTTGCTATTAACTAGCAGATCTATTAATAGCTGCGAAGATGGACTGAAATGTTGACTCATATTTAAAGGCCAAGCTATGTCTGGCATATTAAAGTCTCCGAATACAAAAAGTTTATTGTGAGTAAAGGCAAGTTGCGACAGAGAACTGAATAAGTTATTATCATCAGCAAGCAGCACTGGTCTCGGAGGGCGATAAACACATCCCAGGACAAAAGTAACATTTTTATCAGATACTTTCAAAAAAAGTGAATCAATGCCGAAAGTATTAACATTTATAGGAGTTACCGAAAATTCTGATAAAATCTGGTCAGAAACATATATACATACACCCCCTCCTAATCTATTAATTCGATCACTTCTGAAAAGAGTGAAATTCGGCACAGAGACGAAGCTGTCAGGTATACTAGGAGATAACCACGTTTCTGCCAACAAAACAAATGAAGGATTGTTGCAAGAGATAAACGCAATTAATTCGTCATATTTGGCGAGAAGAGAAGCAATATTCGAGTACACAAGAGAACTAACAAAGTAATTACAGTTATTTTTATTATTGCATTGAAGCATTTTGTTGCGAAAGATCAATATCTGTCAAGGGAACGTCAGAAATGTCAATATTTCGTAGTTTACCGCAAATTTTCTTTAACCTTTTCTGAATTTTCTTACAACGATTCTTTATGCTTTTGTGCTGAACAATAGGAAATATATCAAACAGCATATCTATTATACCTTGCACGTCAGTTGTGTATTTATGAGCCAGTTTCAACAGATCAACTTCTCCAGTTGCTTTTTCTAGAAACTCAACCGTCTGCTCAAAATTGAGTGGGTACTGGGCATTCTCAAGCACCTGTTTCGCTGGATGCAGTAAGTCAGAAACAGGGGTTAAACTTTCGGTGGAATCTGAAGGCTTAATCCTTTTCGTTGGTTGCTCTTGCTGAGTATTTTCCGCATGTGATCCAAGTGAT